CCGCTCCGGCTGCCGGCCGCGCCGCCGCTCGCCTTCTGCTGCTACACGTCGGTGCTCCTGCTCTTCGCCTTCTCCCTGCCCGGCGGCCGCGCGTCCAACCAGCCCCCGGGCGGCGGCGGCGGGGACTGTCCCGGGGGCAAAGGCAAGAGCATCAACTGCTCAGGTGGGACCTCCCTCCGCGGGCGCCCGTTCTCCGCTTCCGCGGCTGGCCGGGAGAGACCCCGGCGTGGGGTCCCAGGACCCGGGCGCGGGGACCGGCGCCGGGGGCGGGGAGTGGCCGCGTGCGTCCGTGGGTGCGAGTGGCTGGGCGCGGGGAGGCGCGAGGCGGAGCGGCGGGCTCCCGGGCGACCGTGGGTGTGCTCCCGGAGCGTGTGTTTGTGTTGTGAAGGCTCCGTGGAGGGGCCGGGCCCGGGCAGCGCCGTGCGTGTGCGTGTGTGTGTGTGTAGCTGTGGGTGGGACGTGGTTAGGGGCTGCGCGCACAGGCTGAGCGCCAGAGCGATGACCATGTGTCGGGCAGGGTCTCCCGTTGGGCGGCGAGTCTCAGGGGGTCCTGGGGTTAAGGAGACGGAGTGGCGATGTAGTGCGTCCCTGTGGGTTCAGAGGTGAGATGGAGGCTGATAGTGTCCCCAGGTCTGTGGATACAGGCGGTGGGGTGGGTAGCAGTGCTCAGGAAGTGACCCTGTGGTTTTGTGTGTTGGGTATGGATGAGGTCCGGGACTCAGGTGGCCACCCTGGGATGTGCGTTGAGGAGGAAGAATGGAAGTCCCGAAGTGAACCCCGTTTGTCAGAGAGAGGGGTCTAGAGAGTCATCTTGTGTGGGGTTAGGGTGTACAGCGAGGTAATTAAATCTCCAGGAGTGTCTGTGTGTAGCAGGGTGTAACCCTGGATTATTAAGGTGGTGGAAATGATGCTGTGCCCGTGTGCCTGTGCGCGTGTGTTTTGCTGGAGAGCCTGGAGATTGGCAGCAAGGGGAGCGAGGGAGTGACCTTTCCCCTCTCACCGAGGCCGCCTGCCCTCCCGCAGCTGCCGGAAACAAAGAGCTTGCTGGGCTTTAATGGATGACACTGGGGAGGAGGGTACTGGGTAGTTAAGTTCCCTTTTCCTTTCTACAGGCTACAGGGGTCCCAGAGGAGTCCAGGGATTCAGGCCCTGGGGCAAGGAGAGGCATCCGGGTCTCATTTGGGGGTGGGTGGGTTTTCCAGGAGCTAGCCTGGCAGATGCTGGTGATCATAAGCGAGTCCTTAATAACTTAGCCTTTTGTCCATTCACAGTCCTCCACTGGTCTGTGGGTGAAGGGGGAGGAAGGATGGACATGAGGCCACTGGGGTCTGCTTGGAATCTTTGTACCTTTGAGTTTTTCAAGGGGCATTATTTTGGGGAGAGTGATGGAACAAGAGCTTATACTACTCTAAAAAAAGAAAGGCTTTGGCCTGCTGTTTAGGTTTGAAGGCCTAAAACCTTTCAGTAATTTTCGAATAGTATTTTACATGAGGGGAGAGGGGTTTTGAGAACAGTTAACAATGACATATTTATGTTAAAACCACTTCTATCCATGAAATGTTTTATTTTTCTAAATAGTAAATGGGATATGATAGTGCTTTAATAAATAACGACATATTTAAGAATAAAAGCCGTTTGTAGCGTGCCTCTTTTGTAACAAATATTGATTATCAAATTTACAAGTGATTACACTATGTCAAAGTATTTTATGGGCAAATGTGCTATGGTTATTTGTTCTTGATAAGCTAATTTGTCCTTAGCAAAACAATGTGTGTTGATGGATGTGCTTGTGTATGCTTTCTAACTCTAGTGCCTAGGACAAGTTCTAAAAAATGAAATAGAGGACTAGAAACCCACCCATATGGTGTGGGGAAAAAGGGGACTGACTTAGGGGTCCTGCTCAGCATCTGCATAGTTTGGGGCAAGTTACTTAATTTTTCTTAGTTTCGTCTATTAAAAAAGAGATTTGTATTTAGTATTTGAACCTTCTTTCAAGGAATATTTGTTACTGATCTAAATGTCAATAAATTAGCCCAGTCAAATAAAATGTTTTCTAGTGCTAAGATATACTTGAATAACTAGGTCTAAAGCTAGAGTTTTAAGTAATATTTGTAGTCTCTTGTTATTACTGATTCAAAAATGAAGTGTGGGAAAAATTCATGTGGAAAATACACATTTTTAAAAATGGATGAATTTAAGAACTGTAGTAAACTAGACATACACATCTGTTAGTACAGTTTGAGATTGTGTGTTGGTCTTTTAGTGTGTTGGTCTTAGTAGCTTTTATTATCTAGGTATTTCCTATGTAAGCTGAAGTTTACTTGTCCATATTTTTGAATTTTAAAATCTAAGGGCTGGTTTTGACTCCCTTTTGATGTTCATTTTTGCTTTTGGACCATCGTTTTGGCCTACTGTGGTCTTTGTGGATCCTGATTTTGTCAGGCTACCTGTGTTGGGTAGTCAGCTTTGTGGCAGGTATAGATGTGAAGAGTAGGTCTATAGCTTTAATTTTTATTAAATTGATAGAAGTTATGTAGATTGTGGGAAAGGATGGAACCTTGCAATATTTTACTAAAGTTTTCCTACCAAATTCATTGATGTTAGTGTATTAGTCAAACAGATGTTTGACCACAGCTATGCATCCTCTTGAGTTTAACAGATTTTTTAGCTTTGGCAGTTCAGCATTTTCCATTTTGTTCACCAGCTTATTGTTAAAAGATTTTGTCAGATTGACTTGGTAGAGTCAGTTATGTAAGTGTCCCTATCATCTTCCCTTTTTTCCATTTTAGTAATCCTGTCAAAAAACAAAAAAACCAAAAAACAAATATTGTAGAGCCTGTCTTAGTAAGGAGCCTGGAGCCTGTGTTGGCTGGTAGCTCTTTCTCTTTTTACTGTATTAACAGACTTGTTATATACCCATTCTAGAATTTTTTGAAACATTGTGCCATGGTAGTGCATAGGTGTTTTTCTGGATCTCTGTGTTGCTTTTTTTTGAAAATTGAGGATGCATTCTTTCATTTCTTGGCATGTGGCATCTTGTCAAGATTGCATAAATAACCAGCAGTTATTAATGAGATCTGAAAAAATCATGAAGTTAAATTTGATCAGAAAGCAAATAGTGGGCTGGGCATGGTGGTGCATGCTTATAGTCTCAGCACTTAGGAGGCTGAGGCAGGAAGATTGCCATGAGTTCAAGGCCAGCCTGGGGTAAGTGAGTTCAAGACTAGCCTGCACTACATAGTAAGACCTTATCTCAAAAAAAAAAAAAAAAAGAAAAAGAAGCAAGCAAACAAGCAAGCAAGCAAATACTTTTGAATTAGCTCTATGTCCCATTATTGTCCCTATCTGTGCTACTTGTTTTGGATGTTAGCTCCCTTTTATTAGAATTCTAACTTTCCAAGCTTGAGGATCAGGCTCCTTGGTGAAGACATGCTATGAAGCTGAATGGGGCTGCATTGTCTTTTCATGGCTTGGTTATTACCACATCATCCCTTAGCTGTGGACCCTTTGTTTATCTCTCCTCGTTCTAAAGAAGCCCTTTTTGTTGTCCCCTTCCCTACTCATTTTGGCTTCAGGCTGTGTACCTCTTATCTTTGATTTTTATCTTTTTATTTATACTTAAAAAAAATCTAATGAAAAGATTCACTTACAAGAAAGTTCTCTGTTTATCCAAAGAGAAAAAAAAAAGGCTGACAATACATGATATTTGTGAAGAAAGAACTTTGAGCTCAGGAAACCAGATAACCTTAGACATGGCTTTTTTTCCATTTGTAACAATGATTCTCTTTGGCTTTACGGTCTCTGAGAAAAACAGATGAAATTAAACATATGAGGCATTTCTAGCTAACCATACTGAGACCAGTAAGCAGCATTTGGTGATAGATACAAGGTGAAGAATTTGAACAAGGTTTTGAAAATGTTACAGAAGTTAGAACTAGCCGGGCATGGTGGCACATGCCTATAATCCCAGCATTTGGGAGGCTGAGGCAGGAGGATCGTTGTGAGCTCGAGGCAGCCTGGGCTACAAAGTGAGCTCAAGGCCAGCCTGAACTGCATAGTGAGACCCTGTCTCAAAAAAAAAAAAAAAAAAAAAAAGGTTAGAACTAAAGTGTTACAGTTTTAAAAGTGTTACAGAAGTTAGGAGTTTGAAGGTGGGTCCTCTGGGCTGTTATATGTTGATAAGAATGTGGGGCCTATAAATGTTAGATTGAGAGAATTGCCTTGTTAGTGGCAGCTCAGAGTTCTGGGGAATAAAAAGTGAGTTTTTCTAATTAGTCTGAAGTCTTGGTCAGGACACTTCTTAATCCCTGATGTGTAAAATGCAAATATTAATTTATTTAGTGAGCCTTGATTGATTGATTGCTTGTATAATCTAATATACCAGATGGTAAGGGAAATACATGAGATGCTATTTCTCCCCTCAAGGGCCTTATAGTCTAACAAAGGTGGTCAGCCCCATACAAATATATTCAGTGGAAATTTCTGCTGAGCATATGTGGGCTTGCTTTTTACCCCTGTCTGTAAGCATTTTTGAATACTGAGAGCAGTGGAATTTTTAAAAAGTTGTACAGTCAAGTGGTTTATAGAATCTTCACAAAGCTGGACAGCCATCACTACTAATTCCAGAACATCATCTTCACCCCAAGAAGCCACCCTAGAAAAAAAGCAGAAAAAAAAAGGAAGAAACCCTATACCTATTAATAGTCATTCCACTACTAATGCACATTATTTCCTCTGTGGATTTGCCTATGCTGGATATGCATGTAAATGGAATCAGAAAATAAGTATTTTGTATGTGGCTTCTTTCACTTAGTGTTATGTTTTCAGTGTTCTTGGAATAGCATGTGTTAGAACTTCATTCTTTTTATGTTTGAATAATATTAAGTTGTATGGATACACCACATTTTGTGTATCCATTCCCCCACTGATGGGTATTTGGGTTGTTTGTACTTTTTGGTGATTATTGTTACCTTCCCTTAATCCTGTACTATTAGTCTGCCTTAATCTTGTTTACATTTTTGTTGTTGTTTGTTCTTGTGGTACTAGGGATTAAACCCATGGCCTGGTGCATGATAAGCAAGTGCTATGCCATTGAGGTATGTTCCCAATCTTTTTTTTTTTTTTAAGTTTCAACCTTTTGAGACAGGGTCTTGCTAAGTTTCC